CGTTTCTGGTAAAGAGAAAAAGTTGAAATTTGTGGTCCAGTGTTATCGGCCGGCCCTGCGCGGCATTAACAGGGAATCAGTCTCAAGTTATGTAGACTCCTGCCTGACGTGGACGGGACAGAACTTTTTCTGTCTCGGGAGACCCGCACCACAATAGCCCAACTTAGCTTTGGCTATTGCAGCAGGCTAAACTCATACCTGAGCAGAATTATTGAGGATGTGCCCAACCAATGCCCGGCATGTGGAGAGTCGCCACATGACGCTCGGCACCTCTTCACATGCCCCGAGAACCCCACCCAGCTGACGCCCCTGTCCTTATGGACAGACCCTGTTGAAGTAGCACACTTCCTGGGCCTCCCCTTAGCTGAAACGGACCACAACGTTGACGGATGAACCGACCCGAGCGGGGCTTACAACAAAATCAGAATTTCAAAATTGATGGAAATGTCCAATATGCGCAACCTCGCTTAAATGCCGAATTGGAACTTAGTTACGCAAATAAGGTAGTTCCATCAATTATAGATATTTTAGAAATATGTAACACAGAACACACCCTATTTTGTTTTAGTTGGTAATATTTGTACTTTTTTAGTTAAAGTTTTAGCATTACCTCTGTAGAATTTCTATGACACCTGACGAAAACTAGTGATCTTCATAGGGACAAAAGACAATTGGAGAATGCGAGGTTCGGCCATATGGTGGACGATCTAAAGTCAGCACCCAAGCGCTTAATTTTTTCGGCTACCCAATATTATTTCATTTCAATCAACAATATAATTTCTCAAGTTTCTGACAAGCTTATTCCGGTGTAAGTGGCATGTAGAATAAGAGTGGTAATTAAAAATGAAAGGCATAAAGCGCCTCCATTTCAAGAGTCTAAGTATAAATATCATATTTTCTATTTTTTTTGGTGTTTTGTTTGGTTAGCCATTAAAATAGAAACGTGATGCGAACGATTTCCTTGCGAACTATGAGACTCCACCCATCGTTAATAATTACATACGCTTAATTACTTACAACGGGCGCAAGCTTACTTAATCTCAGTTACAATTAATAGAAACAAATTCTCAGGCATGTTAACTGTAGAATTAACTTTTTGGCTGCCTTACAGATTTGTAGTTTTTTTTTAGGAACTTACAAACATACAAATCTACTACATACATACGCAAGTATATCGGCCGGGCGAGTGTTCGAGGGACACTGAGTTCATTTTATGAAGCCAAACTAAACGCCATCATTTTTCAATTTTCTTTCCACAAAATGTGAGAACTAAAACAGATAACAGTAATGGGAAGCCGGTAAGGCAAGCAATTCGACGTACATACATCAATTTACGCCTTAAGTACAAATGCACATACGTATGTATTTCAAATCATAACGCTTATTAAAAAAAAAACAAAAGTTTTGAAAGTAATAAGACTCGATTAAGTAAGCAGGCAAATTAGAGATGCTTCCAACCCCCTGGAGATAAATTCGATAATAAAGTAACTGGAATAAGTTTTCTTTGTTAATTATTAAAAAAAATTCTTTAGATTTCAGAGAAACTTTCGTTTTTCGAAACAAGCTGTTAAAGCTTAATTCCCGTGCAACCCGGCCGGATCCGGTAATTAGAGAATAAGCGAAAAATTTGCTCTCAAAAGTGGAACAATGTCCAGAAGTACGGGAACGCAAAAAACCACATTACGTGCTCGGAATTTGAGAAATTGCGTAATCAAGTGGTTTTGGTTATCGACACTTAAATGCAAACACTTGGACTGAATTTTGGTTTCGCAAATTCGATTGTATTAATAAAAAAGTATATAAAGATTGAAAATACATGTAAACATAAAACAGCTGATATGCACTTTGACACTATATCCATTTTTACCCGGAGAAAAAGTCCGGGCTGTTTCGGGCAGGAAGAACACACGTTCGACGCAATACGTTCCAATTTTCGCTCTCTA